AATCTTTTCTCCTTTAGGTTCTTTCAGGCATTTGTCATAGCCAAAAAAAGTCCATGACTAACATATTCTCTTTTGGGTCTTGAAGACTAAACGCCAAAGGGGAGATCATCTTTTGCAAGGCCACACAGGGACTGTGCCATCTCTGGGACAACTTCTAGTCATGTCTTAGGATGTATAGGCTAATATTCTTTCCATACTACAGATGAAATGACAACCGTCTGTCACTTCTGTCTCTGTTTCTGAAGATCTCTTGAAGTTTCTATGGATGCTTATATTGCTTCCAAGGATGATGGGTGCTATCCATCCTTCAGATTTATTGAATTTAATATTTACATTTCCATTATCAATATCAAGGAATTCAAAATCCATTCATTGACCATAGATTTCACATGCATATAGATTAGATATTTCTGTCTACTATGTAAATGATATTTTGTTTAATAAAATATAAACTAATATGTCATTAGTACAATTATAATAGCAACTTTAAAAAATAGTATTGTAAAAAAAGTGAGCCTAAGACACTCTGAATATTTTTAAAGAATTTTTAGGACAGAATCTTCCCTAATTTCAAACCCCAGTACTACCTGTCCCTCCCTTCCTCTCTCCTACCCCCTATTAAAAAAAATGATCCTTAACTAGTCTGGTGACATGGTGGCTCATTCCTGTAATCCCAGCCACTCAGGAGGTAGATATTGGGGAAAAAACTCTGTCATAGGCCAGCCCCAGGAAAAGGTGTGAATCCAACCTGAAAAGTTAAAGTATGAAAAGGCTGGGAGCATGGTTCAAGTGGTAGTTTGCATGCCCAGCAAGTATAAGGTCCTGAGCTCAAACTCTAATATTACCAACAGTAGAATAAAATGAATCCTTATAGTCAAACAACTCCTGAGACACTTCACTCTGTACAAGATCTTCTTTTACTGACCAGATTTCATTCTGCATTCTGTCTCTTTGTCTCCTTTGTCGAAAAAAAAACAAATTAATGATAGCATAAAGCAAAAAGAAACAACTGATCAGCAGAGAAGGAACAAAGGCAGAGACCAATGAAATGGTGAGTTCCTCTGGATACCTCATCCCTCAGAAGTGGGACTGGAATTAGCAACTGGTCTCCTGATAAAATTTAATTTAAAAAAATGAACTCTATATAGAGTAGTTACTCATAACTATTATGAACAATTAAAGTAATGAAAGAAATTTCCTTTCGAGCCTCACATTGATTGACCTCCCATTCTTTGGATCTAAGAAGTCATCATGTTGGTTGATAATAACACTTGATCTTGGATGCTGTAAATTAATATGGAGCATAAAATACAAAGATCAATATTGTGATGTTGAGGAGGTACATTGATTGGCTGTTTGTCCTCAGACTTTTAAACGAAATGGAGAACTGAAGAAACACAGGAATAATTTTTCATAAAATCCACTTAAGTCATGGAGACAATGATGGTGAAGGAAAGGGTTTGTATGATACTGCTAGTGCTTGCTCTCACAGGCTTCTCTGCATCACCCTTTTTTCCAGTAATTTTTTTTCCTGTCTTCTCACCACTCAAGCAGACAGATCTCCTATAATGCTAGGAAAGAGGCTTACTCGTGTGTGTGTGTGTGTGTGTGTGTGTGTGTGTGTGTGTGTGTGTGTGTGTGTGTGTGTGTGTCCCA